CTGGTGGGTTTGAACCTCCAGCCTTCTGGTTAGCAGTCAAGTGCCTTAGGCACTATGCTATCAGAGCTCCCAAGTAAATTGAGTTAAGAGTGTACAAATTAAAAAATGGAAAATAAACAATAATAAAATATATTGTTAAGTTATCCTGTTAGAGTTATTTCACTCTTACCAAACACTCTGCCATAGGTTCTGAAATCAAGAGAAGAAAGTCCTTGGAGCAAGGCAATGGAAGTCAGGCTGGGGAAGCCAAAATAAGTGAATTACCAAAGCATGAGATTGTATAGAGAGAATAAAGTATTCAACTGAATAGAATAGACCTATATCTACATATTTATTCAGACATTTCTAACTTAATTATTTTACATTGCTCATTCAAAGTTTTCTTTTTTCTTTTTCTTTGTCTTTTTAGGCCAGTGGTGTTGCGGCCACTAATCTTCGAGTGCTGTATCAGCCCAATCGCTGTGCCCTTCTAGAGTCGACACTGGTTCCTGGTCACACAGTCATTTTTGATCATCATGGCAAAATAGCTGATGAGTCATCAGGCTATGCAAATCTTTCAAAAGAATTTGTGATTTATGTTAAGGTAAAATGGAGCAAGGTTGTCAATATTTTTATTGCTAAAATCATACTTTGTTTTACCGTAGGGGGAAAATGCTTGATGAATTGAATCATAGTGCAGTAATCACACTTCCTTCCACTAGGTGGCATTGGTGTCCATTTCCATTATGACCCCCAACTGAAAGGCAAGGAGGTGGTGATAGAAGCAACATCCTATATCCCGTTCACCTTTGGGGTTAAAATGATGGCTCTGGGAATTCTTAATAACAAAGTAGAGAATCTTAAATTTAGAAGCCTGATAAATATGTGTATCTAACTTTTCTAATGTAATTAGAATTTACACCCTTTGAATGTTACACAAATGAGATGATTTCATAATGCTTACACGTCTTTCTTTACAGTATATACTTTTTTTCTTTTTTTAAAAAAAATATTTTATTGTGAGTTTACAGAGCAAATTCATTTTCCATAAAGCAGTTCACATATACTTTGTCCTATGACATTGACCACAGTTTATCACAATGCAAAAGCTCCACTCCCACTTCCTCTCCATAGTTACCTGTTCCTTCTGTCTTTCCCTCTCATGCACTTCTGCCCCCTGAGCTGTCTCCCTGTGCATACACAACCCTTCTATTCTCCCTTGATTGATCTCTCCAAGAAGTGTATCTACCTAATATAAATGTTCAGCTCATTTCCCTGTCTTTTGCTTGACTGGAAGCCACAGGAGTGGGTTCAATTCCAGACCTGAAGGGCAGAGAGGGGCCATAGTCTCAGGGCTTCCATCAGGCTCTATCAGACCAGCAAACTTGGTTTCTTTTCTTTTTTTTTTTATGATTTTGAGTTTTGTTCCACATTGTTCTCCCACTCAATCCAGGATTTCCTACAGAAAATCCCCCTCCGAGTGGTTGACAGTGGTAACTGGGCACCATCTAGTTCTTCTGGTCTCATAGTCATATAGAGTGAGGATTGCATAGTGTACCAGTCCCTTGGACTAATTTTTTCCAGAAACCTTTGGTTGTCTTCATTTTCTTTGCTCTGGACAAGGAGAGACCCATCATTGCTTCTAGATGGCTGCTTGCAACTTTAAAGATCACAGTTGCTACTCACCAAAGTAGGAAGTAGAACAATGTTTTTTGTAGTGTGTTATTCCAATTGAGCTTGATGTCCCCTGTGACCATGGTCTCGAGCCCACAGGTCCAACTGCTTGGTCCCACGGGGTAGCTGGCTGTGGCCGAGAAGTGACTACAACCTTGTCCTTTGTAAGCTCACTATATACCTGGGAATTCTTTTTTTTTTTTT